AAATCAGGAAGCCCTAATAACCGGGTTGTCTTAGCCCACTGACCAAACTTCTGGACCTTATTTCTTCAACTACAGAAGGAGCCCAGCTAGCATCATTGCTTTTTGTTTCATGGATTCTCACGGACTCAGTCTTAAGATTGAGGCTGTGGTCATACCAATAGTACCCCAGTCTCTCCTGCCACCTAGATAGCATAACAGTTGGATTCCTGGGCTTCTGAGGAACATCAGTTATTGCCTGATTAGAGAACTAGGGCTCTGATTTTTACTCCTGCAGTTAGGAAACAGCTTCATAGAGAGCCACTACACAACCTCTATTTCTCTCTGGAGTCAGAGTGAGAAGAGCAGAGTCATAAATCATCTGGAGAAGTCCAGGCTTCCGTGTCAGAATAGCAGGGAAAGACCTATATCGTGGTTTAAAGGTTGTATATAGATGATGAAGTTAAAAAAAAAACCAGAAAATAAAAGTAATGAAAACATATCAAAGATAAAAAAGAGAAAAGAAGACGAGATTAAAGAAAAATTGGTAAACAATAAAGAGGTCAAGTAGAAAGAGGAATGGAAAGAGTGTTTGATGATCTTTTCATAGACTGCAGGCAAAGTTATTACAATGAACTTGAGTAATGAAGAAGTTCCCTTTTCCTACCCAGAAGGAGCAGATGGAGCAATTACTTTAACTCAAGAAGAAAAACTGCTGCGCAGGTCTTCAGTGGTGGAATGCCTGCTGACACACAGTGCCAGGGCAGAGAACCTGTATTTCCTTCCTCCTGTGATCCTCTTCTAGGTGCTGCCCATCAAATCTAATCAAAATCCAAGCCTGGGCGTGGTGGCAGATCCTGAATTCTCACTTACTCAGGAGGCTGAGGCAAGAGAGTACGCTGAGTTCTAGATCTGAAGATTAACTTGGCCTCAAAAAATATGCGAGTACAGAGCATAAGGGAGCTGGTTTGATGCAGAATTCAGAGCAGAGGAAAAAAATATATATCTGATGTAAAATACCCAGTTCAAAAATTTAGCTTTTACAAGTTTCAAAGTCTTAGAAAATCACTTTAAAATTCCATGTATTGTTTCTTGTTCAATTTCTGAGACTACTCCAAAAAAATGTTGAAAGCAAGCAGGGCAAGAGTTAATTATCCTCTTGAAGGAGCAGTACAGTACAGGTCTACTTGATTTTAACTTTTTTTCTTTCAGTTGCTATGTGCAATTAATAGTGTTTCCACATTTCATCTCAAGATTTTGGAGGGAATCCAACTTACCCCACCTTTCCATCAATGACACCTGGACCCCTGGCTAACAGCAGCAGTGTGCTTTCCACCTTCCTGTTGAGTGGCATTCCTGGGCTCGAGCACATGCACATCTGGATCTCCATCCCCTTGTGCTTTATGTACCTGGTTTCCATCCTGGGAAACTGCGCCATTCTCCTCATCATTAAAACAGATTCCTCCCTGCATCAGCCTATGTACCTCTTCCTGTCCATGCTAGCTCTGACTGACCTGGGTCTATCCCTCTGTACCCTCCCAACAGTGCTGAGCATTTTTTGGGTTGGAGCACGAGGTATTGGCCAAGATGCCTGCTTCACCCAGCTCTTCTTCATTCACTGTCTGTCTTTCCTGGAGTCCTCCGTGCTACTGTCCATGGCCTTTGATCGTTTAGTGGCCATTTGTCGCCCCTTGCACTATGCTTCCATTCTTACCAATACAGTCATTGGCAGAATCGGTCTAGCTTCTCTGGGCCGCAGTGTAGTGCTCATTTTCCCACTGCCTTTTATGCTCAAAAGATTTCCCTACTGTGGCTCCCCAGTGCTATCACACTCCTACTGTCTCCACCAAGAAGTGATGAAATTGGCCTGTGCAGACATCAGGGCCAACAGTATCTATGGCATGTTCGTCATTGTCTCCACAGTGGGTGTAGACTCCCTGCTCATCCTCGTCTCCTATGCCCTGATTCTGCACACTGTGCTATCCATTGCCTCCAGATCGGAGGGACTCAAAGCTCTTAACACTTGTGCTTCCCACATCTGTGCTGTGCTTCTCTTCTACACTCCCATGATTGGCTTGTCAGTCATTCATCGCTTTGGGAAGCAGGCACCTCATCTGGTTCAGGTGGTCATGGGTTTCGTATACCTTCTAGTTCCTCCTGTGATGAACCCTATTGTCTACAGTGTGAAGACTAAGCAGATCCGAGATCGGGTAATCCGTGCCTTTTGTTTCTAAAGAGATCAAGTCTTGGAGATACGACCTCCTGATGTGTACTCTTAGTTACTTATCTTTATGATATCCTGCATGTGTGAAACAGAGGTGACTTTTTTACTTAATAGACACACAATTCACAATATTGTCACTCTACATCAAGAAATGGAATCTGTTTTTCTCTCCCTTAACTAAAGCTTTGTAATTGCCTAAATAAATTGAAGGTTGTAGAAATAACCCTCTCTTTTGAAACAGGTTTACAAAAGCTGATATATTTTTTGCTCTCTCTTTAGCTCACTTTCTCTTCTCCTCTTCTCTCCTCTCCTTTCTGCAGGATAATCCATCTGTATTTCTGTCCTACTCATTGTTGTTTTTGGAATGTGTTACCATATTGTTCCCCAAGTGTAGACAGCATGGGGAAACCACATTCAGGTGTTCTACCCAATGAGCCCAGCTAAGGTCTGAGCATTACTGATTCATTAAGAACCACCAGCAAGAGGACAAACTTTCACATTATTCTATTTCCTATCTTTACAGCCTTTTTAGTGGTCACTCACTAATCATTTCTATTCTAAACCACCCAATGTGACTACAGAAGAAAGCCCAAGGAATTAAGGTAATGTTTCAGACTTTGAAGAAGGAGGAAGTGGTCCATCAGCCAAGAAATGCAGTGACTTCTGTAAGCTGGTGAGGCAAGGAAATGGATTCAGTTTTTTGCCTCCAAATGAAACACGGTCATCCCAGCCCATGCTGTGATTAGGTTCCAGTGCTACCCATGTCAGAATTTTAATCTGTAAAACTAGAAAATAATAAATCTGTATTGTTTCAAACTACTAAATTTAAGATAACTTGTAATTCATCAATAAAACACTAATCCAATACTATTGACAGAAAACACACTATCAACAAAATTTTTGGTGTAATGAACAGCAAGGTGGATTTATATTGTTTAATTAAAATGCTAGGCAGTAAATATTGACAGAAGCAGGGGGCAAGGCAAGTGTTAAATGATGAAAAGGTTTTCTGCATGTCCATAGACTTACAGTTATGATTTGCTATCAAATATAGCTATTGAGGGATTTTTAAGTGTGTGGAATTTACAATTTAGAAAACTGAAATTTTTTGTCTCATTGTGCAGAATGATTGAGAATCACTGAGATGTTCTAAATATAAACAATGTACAGCAATACAAACCAATGGGAGGAAATTGCAGTAGAGACATTTCTTAATACGTTTGCATCTTCACTGTTTTATGGCCAAACCTTATTTAAAACACATTTATTTCCACATCTCCAGTCAAGCATGTGCTGCCACACCCAGATATGCTGTGCATAGGAAGCTGATACTCTTAAACGGACAGAAACTGTATCTATTATGAACATGAGCTAAGATTATTACTATTAACGAAAATGAAAATGGAGAAAGGAGACTTACAGGAGGAGGGAAAGAGAGGTGAAACAGGAAGGGGATTAAAAGAAAATAATAACTAACTGTGTTATGTACAAGTGCCTCCTCCCAATGTGAATGCAAACTTCATGTACTATGAATGTGTACTAATAAAGAAAAATTTAATTTCAAAATGCATATTAGAAGAGCTGTACTTGTTTTTGATTCTGTTTTTGTTTTTATTTTAAAACACAAAAGTATTAAAAATTATGATTCAGAATTACAAAACAAAATAATAACTTGACAATGGTTGATGTATTGCATATTGTTATCTTCAAATTAGTTGTTTATATTACAATATATAGGTATAAAATCAATTATATTTATATGTATATAAAATCTTTTCCTGTCTTTCTTTTCTCCTTTCCTTCATTCTCAGCCCAATTGTTTTTTCCTTTTGAGCAGTTTCTTTCTCTTTTAATTTCACAATATCTATGGTACATTTTGTATCTTATTTACCTTTCAGTTTTTTACACTAGGGAGACAATACAATGTTTACACATAGGATCCTTATTTTAAAGACACAGGAAACACTATACAATAGAAAATATGAAATTATAATCAGTTTTTAAAATCATTTCTTTGCAATCTAGTGGAACTTGAATTTCTTATAAGTTGCATGTTTATTTGATAACAGCAAAAATAACAATGAAAGCTGAGTGTTTTTGTTGTCTCTCCACCCACCCCTACAGTCAGAGCTTCACAGCAGGATTATTGCATTGTCCCCTAGAGAAGGCTCCTTCTGTCTCCCACATTCAGTCTGTCTTGCTTCTGGTTCCATACACTGCCCTTAAAATCTGATTTATCATACTAGGTGTCTATTTACAGACTCAAATGGATTTCTAATACTTCTTAAATTTGAATTTTTCAAATCTTTTTAGATATTCCAATATCTACTCACTCGATATTTGCCAAATTACATACTCTAGCCCTACCAGAACAGCATCTGACATAGCTGTTGTGTGCTCTGCTAATTTCCCCTCCCTTAATAATACAGAGATTAAACATTACAGAAAGAAGCTTAGTAAATGCTGATAGAATAATACTATCTATATTCTCATACTTTATCCATTGCTCAAATGCTGACTCTGATATAACTGTTCCATCATATGTGAGATTTATTTCATCTCCTCTTAATAGCACCAATTAAACCTCTATAAATTATATCATTTTTCTCCTATTTCTCATTTATTGTTTAAACATTATTTTTAGTTGTATTATAAGTTCTCTGCTCCTGCAGAATTACATTCCACTTTTCCTGCTCCAGTCATCCACTAGATATTGAGAACCACGGCACTGAACACATAACAGAAGCTCTAAGGTACTCATTGCTTGGTAATATAATATTTATACAGTATATTAAAGTTTTTATCTCTCACATATGTTAAGGAACTTCCTCAAAACCTTCTCATGGATTTGTCTAGTTTTTACACAGTACACGATGGAGTTCATCAGAGGTGGAACTAATAAAAACATATCTGCTATGAGGACTGTGACAAGGGGGTTTTTGTGCTTAGCAAAGCAATGGATGGCACCCAGGGTGATGATAGCTACATAGAAAATGAGCACAGCACAGATGTGGGAGACACAGGTGTTTAGGGCCTTCAGCCTCTCCATCAGGGATGCAGTGCTGAGTACAGTCTTCAAGATCAGCACATAAGACACGAAAATAAATGCCAGGCCCAGCATAGTACAGAGAGCAACAAAGAAGCCATACATAAAATTGGTCTTGTTGTCAGAGCAGGCCAGTTTCATGATATCCTGAAGACAGTATGAATGAGAAAGGAAATTCTTTTGTCAATATATTAATCTGCTTAGAGTAAAAGGGAACGGAAGTACTAAAAGGATGTTCCTAATGGCTAAGATTAGTCCCATTTTAGCAACTCTCTTGTTAGTGAGGATAGAACTGTATCTCAGAGGATTGTGGATGGCAAGAAAGCAACCCAAAGACATAATTAGGAGCACAGAGGATTCCATGACAGTAAATCCATGGATGAAGAATTCTTGAGCAAAACAGGTAGTGGGTGAAATTCCGGTTGCATTGAACAAGAAGAACCTCAGCATGGCAGGAAGAGAGGAGAGGGACAAACCCATATCAGAGACAGCCAACATGGCAAGGAATAAGACATGGGCTCATGAAGTGAGGGCTCTGTCCTTATGATAAAGATGATGATGCAGTTGCCTGTGATAGCAACGAGGTACATGAGGCAGATGGGGATGGAAATCCACATGTGGGCATAATCCAATCCTGGGATTCGAATCAGAAGGAGAAACTTAATCTCTGAGTTGTTAGGAATCAGCATGAGATAGGGAATATGGACTCATTAGCCAGATCTGAAATCATATCAACAAACAGCAGTTATAATCTTGGGTAAAATTCAGTTTCAAGATAGGGAATTCTTTCATATGTCATGTGCATGAGATTATATGGCATGTTAATTAACTGCAATCTTCCAAACATACCATATATATTTTTAATTGTTTTATTTTTATATACTATATATTGTTAAACACAATCATATTTTCCAACATAACAATTTCATTCCCAAAATTTGTCCTAACTTGGTGGTTTTTCACATTTTTTGATCACATATAGAAAAAATATTAAAGTAAATCTGTTCTCATGGAATTTATAGAGATATCTAGAAGTTTTCTGCAAACAATATTATTTGCCACAAAATTCCTGAATTGCATGGATGAAAATTGCAAATAATAATCTGAAACGATTGTCACTGAAAATACTTGATAAAGATTGGTTCATGAAAATAAATTCATGAACCTATTCCTCTTAAATCTAAGGAGAAGTAAGTTATTATCATACACACATCTCAGAAGAAAAAAATACATGCATTCTATCAAGGATTGTATAAAAATTAACTGAATGTTGTTGTGTGCATGCTTGCCACTTCTTTTTGAGTTTCAAGTTATTTAACCTATATGAACATCATTTTTGATTTGCAAAATTAATATAATTTCAGATTTTGATGTTTATGGATATTTACAGTGTCAAACAGATGTAAATGTATCATTACAAACCAATATCTATAAATATTAATATTGATTATGCAAAGTTACTAACAGAATGTATGATAGCACCAAACCAGTGAATACACTCTTCTAAGGTAGATATCCTTATTTCTTCATGTATCTACTCTTGCATTATATGTGACATTTCCAAAGTTAGGCACTTACTTTTCCAAGGTACAATTTAAAGCTGTATTGTAGTATGATATGCATGTTCATTTTATCCATCTAGATTGGGTTACTATTTTATTGCTTATCACTATGACCACATTTTTAAAGAAATTATAAATGTAAAAAAATCTAAGCCACTCAATTTTCTTTTGAAATGCAAACATTAAAAATCACCCACATGGTAAATTAAACAAGATTTTACATTTAGAATTTATATTTTTAAAAGCACACTTTTTATATTTTCAGAGACAGGACATGCATCCTTGGAACTTCTATCTATGGTTTCAGGCTTCAATACGACCCAATGTTGAATAAACAGCATAAATTACCAGAAATACAAAAACCTAACCAACACAAACTTTCTCCATATTGAGTATGACTTCTGTATAGACTCATAAATAAAGAAATAAGAATTAGGGCTGGGGATTTAGCTCAGCGGCATAAGCGCCTGACTTGCAAGCAGGCAGTCGTGAGTTCAATCCCTGGTACCCATAAAAAGGAAAAAGACCAAAAAAAAAAAATAAAAAAGAAAGAAAGAAAGAATTATAAAATTAATAATGTCATTTTTTTTCTAAATCCATTTTTTCCAGGACAAAAAGAAAAAATAAAGAAGTAGAAGAAAAAACAACTACAACAAAATTTCAAAACACATGAGTCCGGGGCAACAATGAAACATACACTGCACATTGTCATCCCCAACTCATTCATCCAGAGTGAAGACATCTGCATTCAATTGTCCACATAATACCAGCACAAATCCTTTCTTTAGTGAGCTCAGAGAAATCAGTAGTGTAACTATCTTAACTCACTTTATATGTGTATTCTTATATATATATATATATATGTATATATATATACTCGTTTTTCCTTTCAGTTTCTCACATGAATTAAACAATACTATATTTAGATGTGTGTCTCATTTATTTCACTAATGAGTACGTTCTGAAGTTGCATCCATTTACCTATAAAAGTCAATTTTTTAAAAATAGGAAAAAATGTAAAAGATAAAGGAAATTCCATGGAAGACTAGAGCTACTAGGACTTGTTAACTTCATTGTATAAGTTTTAAATTACAAAGTACAGCAGAAAAAAAATCATGTTTTCCATAGCAAATATGGAACGTTTGAAATTAACTTCTTTCCTCCCAACTGAAATCTTTGAATACGAGTTAATATTATATTTTGTAAATCTCTGGAGGATAAGTATGGCAAATATTGTGACAAGCATCCCTGAATTGATAGATTTTACCTTTCCTAAGTAATACTTACTGAAAAAAAAATTCAATAGCCTATAAATGGAGCTTCATCTGTTAAACTAAAAAAAAAAAAATCATTGGCATTTTGATCCTCTTAATCATTTCCCACTACATAATTTCAAACTCAGGGCAAGTATATTTTGAAGGGGACAGCTGATCTTTCTACTTAATTTGCAGATCATGCCATCTACCCATGCACGCACCCCCACACACACACACAAGCACCCTAAAGTCACTTCCTCTTCTACATTATATTCATCTATTAAGATATAGGTAGCATAACAAAACTTCATGTTTCCAAAGAAATTTATAGCTCCCTAAACTTACCTGAACCAGATGCCCTAGTCCTTGAAGGAAAACATCTCCGCTTCATCTAAATGCTATTTACTTCTGTTTTCCTTTGATGGCAGACCTCTGAGAATTAAAAAGAAAAACTCTTGTGGGAACTTCCAGTAAGTTTATACAGAACAGATCTGGCCTAGAACATCAACTCTTTGGTATCCTGACTCCCCTGGAAGTTAACAGACAAATTGTAGGGCAATGGTAAGCAGTAGACTTCATGAGAAAGTTTGATATGGTTTTCAAACATGTTGAGAAATATAGTTAATACAATAGGCTAAATGTAATTAAATCATTTCAGACTCAATTCCCACCCACTGCACTTACCTTTTCTTTACCTCAATATAATCATTTGAATAATGGAGACAGAGATATGTGAGTGTCAAATATTCATAAAAGTTCTTACAGACCATAAAGCTGTTTACCAGTGATTCTTGTAGTCTATTTTATACAAATGTTATCTAATGAACATTGAAATAAACATTATTATTTATTTTTATAAGAAGATAGAATGGCACCTATAAAAAGCAAAAGAAATTAACTGACAATCTTCTCAGAACAACAGCATACACTTATCTTAGTAAGTAAGAAATGAAGAATTTACTCACAATGACAAAAATATCTATGAAGAATCAACAGTTAACATCATAATTTGATGATGAGAAATGCAAAGCTTTTCACTGATACCAGGCACCAGATAAGGATGTTCTCTATTTCCACATAAAAGAAAATAAACTGATTGACAACAAAAATAAAATTGTATTGTTTTCAATTGACATGATTGTCCATGTAGAAAACCAAGAAGAATAAACAAATTCCTAAAACTAATCACGGGTTACTACAAGGTTTTATCTTACAAGCTTAATATACAAAAACCAACTTTTTTTGTGTGTCAGCAATGAACCAGTGAAATATAAAATATAAAACACTACATCATTCACATTGTTCCCTCAGGATTTACACAATATACGCATAAACCTAACAAACTATGCACAAGATTTACATGATAAAAACCATAAAATTCTGATGCAGTAAATAAAAAACAGATTTGTCTATTACAGAATCAGAAGATTGAATTTTGTTAAGATGTCATTTTTCCTAATTTCTTCAATAGATACAGTAAAATTCAAACTAAAGTCTCAGCAACTATTTTGAGAATACTTAAAAAATGATTCTAATGTTTAAACACGAAGACCACAGGCTCAGAATAGCCAACATAATTCTCAATAGAGAAGAAAACATTTGGAGAACTAAACCTTGTCAAATTCAGAATTACCATAAACCTTCAGTAACCATGACAGGTTGCTACTGGCTAAAGGATAAAGAAGGTGACCAAAGGAAAGGAGCAGGCCTACATGAATACAGTCATTTACTCTTTACCAAAAGATCAAAGACAAAACAGTGGAAAAGAAAAGTCTTCAATAAACGATGCTGTAAAAACTGGACGTCCACATGATAAACAAGCAAATGAAAATGCAAAATGACACTGGGGATAGACATTGTACTTTCCACAAAAATTAAAGTGGAATCACAAAAATAAATATAAAACATAAAACTAAAAACATCCTAGAAGATAGCATATGGAGTCTAAATTTAGTGATGAACTTTTAAATAAAGCATCAAAACAAAATCCATGAAAGAACGGTAAGTTGGATTACATTTAAATTTGATTTCTCTCCTGTGAATATCAAGCAGAGAATCAAAAAGCAAGCCATGAATTGCTTTACAGATTTTGCTTCCAACCTGTGAGATTTGCTATGGAAAGATTTGCTATAGCTATGCTTTGTTGAGGACATAATATCACTTCTGTACTTTTCCTTTGAGGCAGTGCCTCATTCAGTTGCCCAGCCTGGCCTTGAAATTCTGGACTGAAGCCTTCTGCCTCAGCCTCCCAAATGGCTTGGTGTTACACACACACACTCTAATCATCACATGCTATTTTTCATGCTTGAAAGTTGCATATGCATAAAGTGCAGGCAGCATGTGCATGAACTGGAAGTATCTTGAGGATCTTAGCAAGACAAGGTGCCCAGAGGTAGGAGACAGTAGAGATAAACACACAAACTCAAAGACCCACAGCATTAGTTAAACTTTTAGTGACCCAATGATATAGGAAAGACTAAAGCCATCTTTCTGAAAACAAATTCACACATTTTTAACCTTTTATCATCAAAAGGAAGCAGAATGATTAATAGCCTATTGGGTTTTTGGAGGTAGTACAGTCCAAACTTGAAATACTAAGCCAACCTAAGAAAGAGTAATATTCTGTCTAAGTCAAACTGGGGACATCAGTATAACTGGAAATTCACAAGAAGATGAGTCAGATTCCATAGATGTGAATGAACCACTCGTGTAACAGTGCCTTTCCTCAGCTCATACCTGTTGCCACATGAATCAATTCTTAAGACCAGCTGATGGAGAAGAAAAAGGTCAAGCTGTTTTCTGGATAGACAAACTTGGTATCCTGGAAACAAACAGTAGGTATGGTATTGATCCTTTATAGTGTAGCTATGA